TGTTATAGTTAGGGGGAAAAAAAAAGCATGTCCCACAAGAAAAGAAATTCATAATAGCTCCCAAACTACTCAGATATATTCTGGTGGGTAAATAAAAAAATTATGACTATGATAGAGATAATAATTTATGACACATCCACACCATGGGCTACTCTAGACAGTAAGAGGAAATACACTACCAATATGCAGCAACAACAATGTGGATAACCTTCAAGAAAATTCTGCTGAGTGAAAGAAGGCAATCTCAGAAGGACACATACTGTAATTATCAGAATTGTATTACACCTGTGAAATAATGTAATCATAGTGATGAAAACCACATTAGTGGTTACCAGGGGTTAGGGATAAGGGATAAGAGGCAGGTGTGGCTATAAACATCTGTACTTTGTGGTGGCAGTTACACAAATCCACACATGATAAAATTACATAGAGCTATAAACACATGCATACTAACAAACTAAAACAAGCTCATTAAGTGTGTCCAGTGAGTTTTGAGTTGTTACCCTTCTCTATTTTTATTTTTTTGAGACAGAGTCTCATTTTGTCACCTTTGGTAGAGTGCTGTGGCATCAACCTCCAACTCCTGGGCTAAAGTGATCCTCTTGCCTCAGCCTCCTGACTTGCTGGGACTACAGGCATGTGCCACAAAGCTGGCTATTTTTTAAGAGACAGGGTCTTGCTTTTGCTCAGGCTGGTATTGAACTCCTGAGCTCAAGAAAATCCATCCCTCTTAGCCTCCCAGATTTTTAGGATTAAAGTCATGAGCCATGTTAACCAGCCCCTTCCCTATGTTTTAAAAGAGAAAAATTTAAAAATCTTTTACCTGTGATACAGTTGGATAGGCCTTCTCTCGTCAAATCAATTATAGAAGCAAGTTTCTTCTGTATAGCCTGAAAATTTAAGAAAATATTTTTGCCTGAACAAGCTAAAAACGATTTAAAATGAAACGCATGTAATTTTAATAACATTTAGAAACTAGAGATTGAACATTCTCCAAATCCCTTATGGTTTAACTCTACCATTAAACCAAAGCTCTTATAAAAGACTGTATGGTTTCTGAGAATATGACTATGTAGAGTCAAAACAAATTTTGTAAGTGAGTATGGTTGTGAAATATGTCCATCATTAGCTGTCTGCTTTCAATGTGTAAGATGAACTAGAACCTAGTTAGGCTAACTAGTCAGACATTAATTTCTCAGAGAATGAATCTCCTAAAGAATGAATGACAAAACTAAATCATCCAACATGTAGCAAACACTAATACTAAAGTTCTCAGAACTAACATATTTAAGGAAATAGTATTGAAAGCCAGTATTACACACCATAACTTCAGTCTCAGCACTAGGTGAATTGTTGGAATTTCCCAATGTAATTTTTCTAGTATCTGAAAGAAAATTATTAAAATATGAATAAATTTGAGAAGTTTATTAACTATTAAATTATTTATGGGCTTTGAAATATATGAATGCTAAAACACAAGAATGGGGTGCTAATTATATAATTATAAAAAGTAACTTAGATACTCTTAGATAATCATAAAAAGTAACTCAATTGGTGGCACCTGTGGCTCAAAGGAGTAGGGCACCAGCCCCATATGCCGGAGGTGGCGGGTTCAAACCTAGCCCCAGCCAAAAAAACTGCAAAAAAAAAAAAAAAAAAAAGTCACTTAATTGATTTTACCTATTCTAAAGATTGACAATCCAGTTTAAAAAAATAAGTTTTTATAAGCCATTTCCCCCCATTCTTTACAACTGTTATTAGTAATTTTTTTGAAAACTATCTGAAAATTCTATTAGCATTTGAGAAAATATACTTGAAAATGAATATTTTTCGTTATTTACAGCATCCTCAGAATAAATTACCTGACATAGTTAAGGAAAGATCACTCTTCCTGGAATCACCAGGAAGCCTCAAATATATGTTTAACATTGTTAGTAACACTATGATTCACAATTTTAGTAGTCCTAACTATGGGGACAATTAAGTAGCTATATAAGAGGAGACAAAGCATTTGGAAATTAAGATGCAAAGACTATACTATAATTAAAAAAATGAAATGAAAACAGTGAATTCTGGATGTGAAATTCTGAGCTAAACAAGATAATATTTTAAGATAGAGAAAACTTATCATTGGAAACTTAAAGTTAAAAATTGTCTATATAATAAGATACAAACTCTAAAAAGTAACAAAGTGTTATAAAAAAATAAGAGTTAAAAAAATAAAGACAATAAAGAATAAACTTAAATCTCAAGTGGACTGTGAGATAACTTTTTTTTTTTTTTTATAGAGATAAGAGTCTCACTTTGTTGCCCTTGGTAGAGTGCTGTGGCATCACAGCTCACAGCAACCTCCAGCTATTGGGCTTAGGCGATTCTCTTGTCTCAGCCTCCTGGGTAGCTGGGACTACACGCACCCACCACAACACTCATCTATCTTTTTTGTTGTTGTTGTTGCAGTTTGGCTGGAGCTGGGTTTGAACCTGCCACCCTCTGTATATGGGGCTGGTGCTCTACTCACTGAGCCACAGGCACCACTCAAGATAACTTAACAGATAAAACATAAAGATACAAAAAACAAACTTCCACTACCACCAACAGAAGGCCATGGAAAATAAATAAAAGTAGTGCACATGAAAACAAAGTAGTTTTACAATTTGCTAAGTCATTAAACACAGTAAAGAAATAACAGGTCATAAAGTTAAAAAAAAATGTCAATTATCTTAAGGAATCATCTATTTAGATAATATTAATCGTGATATAAATTAGGACATTTTTGAAAACAGACACAAAATTTTTGATTAGAAGATATTGTTCAATTCTTTATTTTAAACAAATACTGATTTAAGACTTTCTAATTTGACAGATTATATTCTAATCAACTTAAGATACCTGTTGGATTTGATGTAATTGGAGCTGTCAAATTAGGACTTTCCACAGAAATCAACATAACATCATCATTGTTACTGAAATAATAAAAAAAATTTAAAACAAAAATAAACTAAACATGCATTATCAGTCTTGGTCATGCAATTAGTGGTTAGAGTGCCTTTAACTTATCATTTCTTAACATGTTTTATTGGGCAATTATGGGAGGAAATGGCAATCATAAAACCAAATACCTACCAAGGCTGCTAGAATTTTGATTGGGATTGCATTAAATATATATATAAAAAAAAAACCTCTATGTATTACCAATTCAATGATATGACCAATAACAGAACCATAACCATAAACTTAGTAGGGATCTATTCATAGTAAATCCAAATATATAATGTACTAATATATAAGAGACATAAATGTAGAAAACATATGCAAATACCACTTAAACACATAAACTTGCCTTTATAAAAATGAAACATATAACTGAAAGAAATCCATTGATAAAGACATAAAGACACATTGAATCTTGAAGATTAAAGACTATAATAAATCCATAAAAAATAACTGTCACGACCCTTTATTACATCCTACAATAGCAATATCTCCCACAAATGATGGTAAATGATGCTGACTATAATTATGGAATATTATGAGCCTGATCATCTTCTGCTACTAGTTAAACCCTCACTCCACTTTTGTGATTTTCCTATTTCAAGTTATAATTTTGTTGAGAAAACCTTGAGACAAATTTCATTAACCTCATTAAAGGCCGGGCGAGGGGGCTCATGCCTGTAATCCTAGCACTCTGGGAGGCCAAGGCAGGTGAGCTGCGTGAGCTTACCAGCTCAAGACCAGCTGGACCAAGAGTGAGACCCCCATCTCTAAAAATAGCCAGGCATGTGGCAGGCACTTATAGTCCCAGCTATTTGGAAGCTGAGAC